CTCGTCCACCGCCGCGGAGCCCTTCCCAAAGCCTCGCTGGGGCTCTCGGCCCCCCCGCAAAGCCGTGTGTCCCCCCGCGCGGGGAGGCTGTCGGTGCCCCTCAGGCGGGGCGCCCCTCACCGCCGGCTCTGGGCGCTGCCTCGGAGGACCTGGGGGTCAGGGCTGGACCCCGGCTCTGGCGATACAGCTCGGAGACAGCAGCGTCCCACGGCCCCGCTCGGCGTTGGGGGGGTCAGAGGGCACCCAGGGGGGCTGTGCAAAGCCCGCCAGGAACCCGGGGGCTCTGCTGTCGTGTTTCGAAACACGTTTCAAAAGACGCCAGGTTTGCAATTGCATAATTAGTAACTAACCTTAAGTGTGATTTGACAGGGTGCATGACCACACCTGAAGACATAGACGATAAAAGTTCTGACAGAATCGCCTTGATAAGGGGCGTTGGAGCTGTAGTCGGCTGTTTGAAAGCTGTGGTTCGCGTTCACCAGCACTTTTGTTTCTGGCCCCACACCACAGTGGATGTGTTTGGCCTCTTTACTGTCAGGCATTTCAGCCCAGCTGGGACTTCGCCAACACGAGCGTTAGCTACACAGGCCGTGAAGCTGCCGCTGCCCCAGACCAACGCAGCAGTGACAGTTGCTTAAAAAAAAAAAAAAAAAAAAAAAGATTGCCACCTCAATGTTTTATTTGGTCTTGGTTCTGAGTCACCCTGGGCATACCAATTGATTTGTCCATGATGAACAAGAAACTCCAGGGTTGTGCAAGACCTGCAGGTCACAGTGCTGTTTCCACTGCCAGCCCGCAGCAGGAAGGAGGGCTCTCGGTTTGGAGTCTTAAAGCCAGCATTACTTCAGGCTCTCTGGGTATCAGCCAATACGCTGTAAATCAGTGATCAGTTTGAGGGGATAGGCTTAAATTTGCATTAAACTTAAAGGAAGATAAATATTCCTGTGGAATTATGGTTGAACCAGAACAGCCTGCTAGACTGCTGGCAGCAGTCAATTTGCATCTCTCACTGAAATATTTCCCGATGGAATATCCTAGTTTGGGAATTACTCTCTTGATATTTTAGGTGTTGTTTTAATAACAGACACTTGGTGAACAAGGGATGGTTCTCTGTGGCTTAAAAGCTTCTTTACTTTAAATACTTGTGGCTTAACTTCACAGGTGATTTTTTTAGAGTTTTGGATATAAATTTGTTCTTTCGAAAATGCATACCTTGAATGCACTCTTCCTGTGCTTTTTGTAGTAGTTTTTATCATGCTCTTTTCATACATGGAGAATAAGACCAGCCTATTACTACACCAGTTTTGGTGAAAACAAATCTCAGAATACGCAAGAAAAGCAAATGTGTCTCCATAGCCAGGAGCCTCTTTGGGATTTGAAAAGGTCAGGTGCAAATCTCTTTGCCTGCACCAGGCTTTTAAATCTGCATTGCTTGAAATCCTTGATGAGTTTTCTATAAGGCAACTTTGTCTTCTATTTGCCTTCCAAATGGTGTTTCATTAAGGCCCAGCCTTAGGCAGGTCTTAAGTTGCCTCTACCTGCAGAATTCCCCAGAGGGCTTGAAACATAAGGATATTCTTCTGCCAGTGACTCTGTTCCTACCGCACAACACTGAACAACCCTGCGGTTAATAAAAAGCAGACTCTTGCTGCCAAATCACTGCCATTAGATATAAGATGTTTCTTGGGGTTGTTCCCTTATTTCTTCACCCACAACCAAAAAGGGAAAATCAGCTGCAGTGGAGGATCATTGCAGATGATGTGGTTCCTTTTACTTACACCAAGTAGCAATTCATTTTTCTTCTTTTAGATATTGATTTGTTAATATGTTGCTTACTAGTAATAAGTCAGGGTATTTGGCTTAGGGTTTAAAAACAGTTACGTGATCTTTCCCCTACAAGTATCACATCAAAGATAAATGATAACAAGCAAGGATGTTTGAAAAGCCTATGTGAAAAGTTTTCATCAGAGATGTGGCTCCTCCTCCCTACTACCCATAGGCCTGTAGAAAAATTCCATCAGGAAAGCACCTCTGAAGGTTATCTGGTGCAATCCACACCTTGAAGAAGGGCCAACCTCAAAGTCATGTATCAAAGCTACTACTAAGATGTGGATCAAAGTTACTATTGCTGCTCTGTGTGGATCTGAAAGTTACATTAAGACTTCCTTTTTATCAGAGAATACTGTGAATATTTATAAGCAGTTATTTTATTTCCCAAGGTCTAGTTTTAGTAATGCAAAAATGTATATTTATTTGTTTTCTTTTGTTAAAAAAAATACAATATAGGATAGTCACAAGGCAAATCACACACAAAGCTGTCTGATTTGGCTTCTAAAATGCTTATGACAGGAAAGATAGATCTCAGCTTCGGAAAATTGAAATGTTTGAGGTTGCTAAAGAGCAAAGCCCATTCCAGTTGTAGTACATAGGTGCAATCTTAGGTAGCTGCTGCTCTCTGTTTAAGTCACAGAAGTGTCTCAACAATGATCCATTTAGTTCCTTCCCCTGTGTGTGTGTGTGCATGTGTATGTTGGTGTGAGAGAGGCAGAGACAGCTGAGCTCCTAAAGCAGAGTACTGGTAAAAAAACCTTATTGTTGACAGTTAATTTGTCCTTTCTTATGAGGGTCTGGACTACTTGATACAATTAGATTAAGTTCTTTAAGGCTGTCAGAAGAAGAAACTAACTCCTGTGACTTGTGCGTGGTAAATCTGTTGTCTATGGACTTTAAAATTTGAAACAATGGGAAGAATTGGGGGGGAAAAAAAAAAAAAGAGGAGGAAAACAATATTGTAATTTTTTCAGGCTGTGAGACAGAGAAGTGATCTACATACCAGAAAGCCAGAGAGCTGATTGTTTTCAAATAGATATCAGGCAAAGAGAACAGCTGTATCTGCAAAACACACACCTTCAGTGACAAGCTCACTAATGCAATTATTGAGGATCCAGAGAGACTGACTAGACTTAGTGTAACAGACATACATTTCTCTACATATATAGAAAAAAAGAAAATCTCAAACAGATTGAATATCTTTGGGGACAATTGAAAAATGGGTGTCATGTCTGTACATGCTGTGGAGGATTTGAACTGGTTTTGGAGCAGGACAGCCATGAAAGAAATGCACATAAAATTAGTCGCAGAGGACAGTTGAACGCTGAAAAGTTTTTAGGTTAGAGCTTGTCACTCATTTGAAAAGCAGATGCCTGTGTCATTAGCAGCAGGCACAATGACACAGTGACAAAACAAAAAGAGGTGTGATCACTGTTTAGTTTCCTGCACTGAACCTCTCCCCATCATGCACAAACATGCCAAGACAAAACAGGAGGTAATAAGATAATATCCAAACTTAAGAGAGATATCTATGATGAAGGCATAGCAAGTTTGCAGCAGATGATGGAGACACAGTTAAAACACATTAAGAAGGAGTACCTAGACTAGGGACCACTCAAACATTCATGAACCATGTTTTTAACAGCTACATTGTCGAGATGAGCAGAACAACCCAGCTCATGCACTGCATGCGACTGGAGAGTAACTTTAACTAGAAAAACCTTGAAATGATATTATGCATGCTAGGCGCTGGGAGAACTTACCCTGGAATACAGAAAAATAAAAATCCTCAGCTATTTTCACAGGAACAGAAGTATCTGGAAAATCAAAATCTGTCCTCAAGCCTAATTGGTCTTCATCTTAAATTAGAAATGATAGGTAGTACCCTGCTATTAACAACGATGGCCTCACTGGAGTCAGTTGGACAGTATTCATTCACTGTAAGTGGAGAAATCAATGTTAAATTCAGGTACGATAGAAATGTCAGAGTCTACAGGACCATGGTATATATGTTTTCAGCAAATAACTTTTGGGATAGAGAGCTTTAAAATCACCATGATAAAAATTTAAATGGTGCAAGGCTATGTAAAAATTAGCTAGCATGTATTTCCTGATAAAGTTTTTAATGCACAGGTTCTCTACAAAAAATCTTGTCAAACCCTCCATGACTGCAGTGCTGCTAGTACATTGGATGATTGCCAGGAAAAGGATCCCAAGAAGAGAAGCATTCTGGTGCATCACATATCAGAGTGTAATTAAAAGGGTGGAAAATACCTGCAAATGGGATTGCAGTAGAGGAAAAAAAAAGCAAATGCTGATCAGTGATCTTCAATGTAAAGCAATCACATAAAAGTACTACAGCCTACCCAGCGTGGGTTATGGTGCTTGTATGTTCTCTGCCATGTTTAGATTGTGCACTAACTAACATCTAACTAGACAACTGCAAAGCAATTTGTTTGTCTTTTGGTACGTCACCTGCACAGAAGATATAGCAGAAGAAAGAGCAGAAATTAATAAAAAGACTAAAAGGAGTCACACAACAGTAAACTAATCTGTTATTAGAAAAAGGAGGTAAAAGGCATAATCCAAATAATGTCAAGTGGTAAAGCAATCAAAAATAGACTTACAAAATGAATTGACTACTGCCCTAAGGATAATAATCCTCCTTTCTTCTTGGAAAACATTCAGAAGTAACTCTTCAAGCAGCAGATCACTGCTGCTGTAGAAGAGCAGTCCATATTGAGCACACTGATGCCGGACAAGCAGGATCATACACAAATGGAATAGGTATCCTGTGGCCCTCTTGTTCTTCCATCAATAAATGTATAACTGTGCTGTGACATTTGAAATACACCAGATCCTTATGGAACAGTCTCCACAAATGTCTGGCTTTTGCACTGTGGAGATTTCGGTGTGTGACACTAAAGCTAATAAAGTATGACTTGCAACTGAGAAAAAAGTCAAGAGAAAAATCACAGTAGCTCTGACTACTTGTGCAATTTTATGTATAGGTAAAGAGTAAAAGAAGGTATGAGGTGTGAACGATTTTCCAACACTTTTTCAACACTTTTTCTCTGTCTACAGAGAAGCTAGCAGAAGTAGCAAGTGGAAAAGAGACATTGCATCTTAAAAATAGAGGATGAGGGGAGGACAGTTTGCACAAAAGCAAATAGTTTCCTTCACTAGTGGAGACATCTGGAGTAAAACAGCAAAGCTGGCTGCTGAGAACAGACTGGTGATGAAATTGAGGGAAAAGATGTAATGCCAAATAAAATGTTTCATGATTCTGAGAAGATCCTTTGAGATGGTGAGCTTGGCTTGATGTTATGGAAAAGAACTGCCAAGAAATATATTTGACAGAAGTGAATGAACTAAGAGAAAACAATAGTCTGTCTGTTTGCTCTCTATGCTCTCTGTCTCACACTTTTGTTAGAAAGGAGGGCTGACATTCACAGTCTTTATTAGTTGTGCATAATGAGACAGTTGTTTTCCTGTTGGTTTAAGAAAAGCAAGGAAATCACTTGGCAATACTTTCATCTGCTCACTGTATGTGTGGATGTGTTGAAATTAGAAGTATTGAGAACAATATGTAATTACTGAAGAGGTCTCTTGAGCCTCTCCTACTTAGTGCACGTTGTCCTATGCTGATCCCGTGTTGTGAGTGATCCCAGGCAAAAGAGTGTAAAAGAGAATTGACCTCTGCTCCTTACTC